TATGGACCCTTGTCTACAGATATAATATTGTAGTCTTGATAATATCCTTAGCTAAAAAAACAAAAGAAATTATAGCAATAAAAACTGCTTTAGGGGCCGTCCGCAAATATCGAACTTTTTTCACCAAACGAATTATTTTAGTTTAGACCCAACCCCTCCCTCCCTCCCCCTCGGAACGTAAAAATTGTTGACATATACATGCATATACAACAAAACCCGCAAGTGTGTAACTGCTCCTATGGCCATGTACATGTATCGAACTTTTCTGAAACGAAATTGGTCAACCCCCTCCCACCCCATAACGAAATTATTTCGTTTCGTGAAAAAAGTTCGATAATTGTGGACGACCCCTTATGGCAGTTTTCTAAAAAAAGTTATTGTGTTCTAGTCCATGGACCCCGTCTAAAAAGTAAGAAAGTATTCCTTCGCCTTGGAAAGGTTAAAGGTCCATATGCCCGTACATGTGCCTGTAAATGTTCATGTACATAACACATGGACCCCAGGCAACGATATGATGTAGTACGTTGTAGGTGAACCCCAGGGGAACTTTTGTACCATTATCCTTCAATGCGACGGACCCCACGATAGGCGGTCAGCCTTTGGGTCATCCTTATAAAGTTATTAATAGGGAGGTTTCGCTCTACGTAATTACGTATGAAAATCCGTATGTCGTACGCGCCGGGGAGCGAGGGCAACTTTCATACGTAAACCTCTCTACGGATTTCCGTAGGAAAGCTCTTTCCTACGTTGGGTCCTCCGTAGGACTTTTTGAAATATTTTTTCGCATATTCCGCATTTGTCCATGGCAACATTCAAGCCGCGCGAAACACAAGTGACAAGGTACACACACTGTACACCACGTGCAAAATATAATGGAAAACGGGGTTTCGGTTCATGGTGCATACGGTGGGCGCATGCAGCCAACGCATCTCCAAAGCAACAACGCATGTTGAGCAGTCGTGGAGAAATCACGTAGAGCGAAACCCAACAGCTCTGATTTTTACGTATGAAAATTCCGTGCAGTTCATACGTTATTTTCATACGTAATTCCGTAGAGCGAAACCTCCCTATTATTAAACTACGAGTGCAAGCAAGAGTACATTACTAAAAAAAGTTATTGTGTTCTATTCCATGGACCCCGTCTAAAAAGTAAGAAATTAACGAAATGGGATAGCCGAAAATTAAAATTTCACACAAAACCTCACAATAATCACACACAGGATGAAAAGTGAGAAGACCTTTTCCCCTCGTGGTCCTCTTTCCTATTCATGCATGTTGGCGCAGTACTCGTACAAGTCACCCGTGAAGTGTCAGACCAAGATGGACTCTTGGTCAGACTAAACACGTGTTGAAAGCAGTATTTTTTTAAAACTAAGATCCTCAAGTGTTGTGATTATTGTGAGGTTTTGTGTGAAATTTTAATTTTCGGCTATCACATTTCGTTAATTTCTTACTTTTTAGACGGGGTCCATGGAATAGAACACAATAACTTTTTTTAGAAAACTGCCATTAAGCAGTTTTTATTGCTATAATGTACTCTTGCTTGCACTCGTAGTTTAATAATAGACACCCTTAGCAAAAAACGTTATGTTGTAACGGTATTATCAAGAGTAGATAAACAAGAGTGTGCAACTCCGCATGGGTTGGCCCACGGCGGAATTTTTTGTTGACGTAATCTTTTCGACGACGCACGCGCTGCGAGCCTTTTGGAGAGTTTTCCCTCGTGCACTTGGCTGGGCTTTACACTGCAAGGTCGGTGCCCAGCACGTGCTCTCACACTGCTCTGCGGCAAAGCCGCGTTTCTCTGAAAAAAGGTGACGTAAACAAAAAATTCCGCCGTGGGCGCGGGGTATCTGCAGATTGTGCAGGAGAGATCCGGAGTTGCACACTCTTGTTTATCTACTCTTGGTATTATCGTAAGGGGGAAAATACCGTGATTTGGGTTCGACCTTTAGCAAGATGCACGCTATTTTTAGTACGCTGTTGCCACGAGAGTAGCTTTGATTTCGCGCGGTACAACTATTTTTGTCACCATATACGCGATACAAGGTGAAATGCGTACGGACTATGCAATATTTGGCCAAAACACGTACCGTTGGTCACAACGATAAATCAGCCCCCATAACGTTTATGCGCTGCAGCTTCAACGCTATTTGGGTGATCAAGGTACGAGTACCGTAAAAAATAGCGTTACCGTTGTTTGCTAAGGGTGTCTAATAATAATTATAGCAATAAAAACTGCTTTATGGCAGTTTTCTAAAAAAAGTTATTGTGTTCTAGTCCATGGACCCCGTCTAAAAAGTAAGAAATTACCGAAATGTGATAGCTGAAAATTAAAATTTCACACAAAACCTCACAATAATCACAACAATTGAAATGCTGCTTTCAACTTTAACTTGTACTGCACCAACAATTGGCAACATGCATGCATAGGAAAGAGGATCACGAGGGGAAAGGTCTTCTACATGTAGCCTTTAATTCTGTGTGTGATTATTGTGAGGTTTTGTGTGAAATTTTAATTTTCAGCTATCACATTTCGGTAATTTCTTACTTTTTAGACGGGGTCCATGGACTAGAACACAATAACTTTTTTTAGAAAACTGCCATAAAGCAGTTTTTATTGCTATAATTTCTTTTGTTTTTTCTGTCACCAATCAATGGAATATCAATAATTATGTAAATGATGGCCTTCACATCATATCAAGAGGTTTATGTACTCTTGATCATAGCAATACCGTATTATACGCATTGATGTGCAAGCCTTTTCTTGCAGAAAATGGCACTAGCATAATGCATGTTCTTCTGCGGGGAAACATGTGAGTAGTGGTGGTTTTTATACGGAGGTCATTCTGTGAATGTTGCTGTTGCAGAATTTCATGACTGTCATAAATTTGTCTTGCCTTTCAGATATTTCAGATTTCCCCACCCTCGATCAGATTTATTTGAGAAATGTAGCCATGCGCCAGGTGCGTGTCGCAGATGTTTTTGTTGATTCTGTGTTTATAATGGTTTATAATCATGGGTTATCGTGATAAGGTCATCCAGCATCATATTGCACTGAAATCGTAATCCTGTTCATGTCGATACAACTTTTGGAAGTAGTTCAATGACTTCAAACTGTTAGTCCACGATTTTCTAAAACAACACAGCAAAGGAGGAACAATAAACATGTATTAAAATGTAAACAAATACATTGCTGAGTCCGACACCTCGTTCCAACAACTGCACTGATCCTGAGGATAAAAGGGTCAAGGCTATGGTTGGAGGTACTGATACTGAGAGATAAACAAGGCACTCCATGATAATAAAATCTTACACATCTTTTGGTGAGTATGAATGATATCCAGTCGAACCTCTTTAGGACCAACACCAAGGGACCGATGGTATTTATTCTGTGAGTTTGTCTTAACCTATTTTATAACCAGTGAATACAATTATTTCTCCAATAGACATACGAATAGATTTCTTCTACAGCGAAAGATTCTAAGCCACACCGACTCTGAACCTTTCTTTAGCAACATGACGGCAACTGAAACAGCAACAGAGAAAGTACGATACATGTACTGCACATTCTTGCAGGTACTACAAACAGATTGCAGATCGTAATTCTTGCTTTGGCGGCACGAAACTTTATTTGGGGCAGTGCAATCTCGGCGGTACTCACAAATCAAACAGCCCAGACTCGAGTAAACAAATCCAATCATACAAGTACGAGATTTTCACGAGACGAGACTGCACCCATTGGCTTGTTTCGTATGAAGCAAACAAGTTACTGAACCTCTCCACAATGGAGATGTTCCTTGATATGCGAATTCATTTTGGCAAACTCGGTCAATGAGTCCTTGAACCTTTCCTCCAGATTGGGAAATGCCAACGATAGTATGCCACTGACCAGTGCCTTACTTGTAACGTACTAATGTGCAATGAATATGAGTAATTCGACAACACATCTAACATAAGCCTTACCGTCAAGAAGGTGAACTCGCGTTCTTCGCACACTGTAGACAAGGACAAAGAGATAGAAATGGATCTAAATCCGAATAAAATCAGCACACGTTTCCGTAAATGAAAGGGTGAGCATAAGCAAATGAATCGAAGGAAACTGGTCAACTCAGAGATCAACTGTCATTGAGTATTCCGTAAAAGGAGGCCTCGGCAGCGGAAAAGCTAAATTTAGCAAGGAGATCCTGTCAGCTTTTCCATTATTTATTGCATTCCGCCCAAAATCAGCACACTTTTCGTAAATGAAAGAGTCAACACAAGCAAATGAATCAAAGGGAACAGGTCAACTCACCTGTCATTGAGTAATATTCCGCGAAAGCAGGTCTCAGCAGCGCCGAAACGAAATAAGCCAGGCCAGGAGACGAAATATCCGAAACAGCTCATGCAAGAAGCAGTTCCAAAGAAGGAAGTTCCTCGTGCATGCACATCCGAAAAGGCAACAACAAAAAGTCTGCAATGCCCACGCATGCGGCCAGCCGGCCGCGCGACGGTAGGATCTAGGAGCCATGCAGTAGCTCCCTGGTCCAGGACCAGGTACCGAGCATCTTACGTAGAAACTTACGTAGCTACGTAGACAACGTGTCTGAATAGCGGTGTCGTTAGGTAGCGCCATGTGAACACAATAATAGAAAAGCTGACAGGATCGCTTTTCTAAATAATAACTTTATAAGGATGACCCAAAGGCTGACCGCCTATCGTGGGGTCCGTCGCATTGAAGGATAATGGTACAAAAGTTCCCCTGGGGTTCACCTACAACGTACTACATCATATCGTTGCCTGGGGTCCATGTGTTATGTACATGAACATTTACAGGCACATGTACGGGCATATGGACCTTTAACCTTTCCAAGGCGAAGGAATACTTGTGGCGGCCAGCGTACTCACTTCAGTGAAAGACAAGGCGTAGTATCAGTGTAGGGTCTACATAAACTTGACTGCCACACAAAGTATCACCTACAAGCAGGTTACATGGCATTGTTATCTGACAGTTCACAAGTGAGACCCACAAAGGCAGTGTTTGTTTCTGGTAGAGGATAGTGGCAGAGATATTCAGTGGAAGTCGGCTGATGACAAATGTAAGTTCTAAAGCATGTATATAAGACTGGTAGGCCACGGATAGGCGTGGGTTCATTTCGAGGACGCGGACTTGTTCCATTGTTTATAGAGATCAGATGCCAAGAAGCTTTGTGTTCCAGAGAATGTATATTCAGTATCTGTTGGAGTGAATAATAGGGAGGTTTAGGGGGTGATTATATGTGCAGCTCCAGCCCGGGCTGGTCGACAGGCGGGCCAGCCCGCCTGCAACGGGATCTCGGGGTTGTCCACAAATCCACACAAAACCTGTGGCAGGCCCGTAGCAGCCCCATTTTGGTTGGTCCGGCAAGATCCGACCTCGATGCCCCCCCCCCCCCCCCGAGCCCACACTCCTAGTAGTAGTCCTACCGTGACATATGCCGGTGTACAGGTACAAAATGTACATGATTGTACGTGTATGTACATGCATGTAATTGTGACCATGCAGAGTGACATAGGGCGAGAAAAGGAAGAAGGATGTTCTGCATGAGTCAGGGAAAAGGGCATCCGAGCATGTTGTGTCCGTCCAAACAGAACTTGTTAAGCCTATGAAGGCATAGCAACAGTATCTAAATGAATGTGATAAAAGAACCAAAAATGGACCTTTGGTCCCTTGGAGGAGGAGAAAGGACATTGCAATGGAGGAATGGCAGGAGGTCATAAAGTACAGGACAACACCCACATGGATCTATGTACATGGTATTCGCAACAATGTCATGTACATGACAGTCATGTACATGAATACTACTAGAGTTCAAACTTCAAAGTATATCCTCTTGCTATTACCATGTACTACTTTTACTTATTGCACATATCATGGGTGGACATCCTGAGCTGCTTACATGTGTGAGCTCCTGCTTTTTTTTTTTTTTTTTTTTTTTTTTTTTTTTTTTTTTTTTTTGGCCGAATATTGGTCCGGCAGCTGCCGGACCTGCCGGACCGCCTGCTACGGCCCTGTGTGGTGCGTTTACATGGCAAGCGGGCTGGCCCGGCGAGGCGGCATCCCGCCTCGAGGCACCCGGGATCCCGGCTAGGCGGGCCAGAAAAAGCACATATAAACAGACCAGCCCGGGCCAGAGTTGTATTATTATAGTGTCGACACTGCGTTCATACTACAAAATAGGTACTTTTACCTTTTGAGGGAAGTTATAAAGAGGATTCCCGATATTGTCTTGAAAATCTATGAAGCTTTTTGTACAGCAACAAGAAGGACGTGCAGTGAGCACTGTTTATTTGTCGACATGCAGGATTTACATTAAAATGGAAGGGGAACTACTTGCAAAATACTTTGATATGGACAGCTAAAAATGTGAAAAACAGGGAAAAGAAACGAGGTGATACAACACACCAAACATGTGCCACAGCACGAAAATAAATCAGCAGAAGAATACAATGTGTGAGAAAAAAAGTTGTTAGGTTTATAACCTGAGTATGGCTTGCAGCCCTGCGTTTCAGCCCGGGGCAGCACACTACAGTCGTAGTGGGTTTGCTGCATACTCACAACGGGCTGGCGTGTGCTCAGTGCATATAAACTCACTGCGGGCGGGCGACCAGCCCGGCTTTGCACATGTAAACACCCTTGGCGGGCTGGCCCGCTCGCTCCAGCCCGGGCTGGAGTTGCACATATAATAGGCCCCTTAGTCCCACGTAATCCGTGGGTACTTTACGTGGGTGCACCACGTGATACTCAGTGACCCACGTACAGACGTTTTCTGATTCACGACATACCGTGTATGGAGGCTCACCCACGTTCCGCCAGAACGTGGGTGAAAATCAGAATGGAGCGCATTGTGCGAGCTGTGAGGGTGCTCAGCTGAATAAGTTTCCGAAGCACGAAATCAAAATATTGGATGAGCTTCTTAGGCCGGGGTAGCTTCGTCTTTGACCAGGTTTTGGCCTTTCGCTTCATGCTTTTGTTTGTTCCGTGTGACTAAACACAACATTGCAACGTGGGTGCCCTTCATCCACTTTACGTGGATCACCCACGTACGCGTTTCCGTTACGTGGGAACTAAACCTCCCTAATGCCTCCCCCCACCCTCCTACTCGTCACACCTCACTGTTCCGTCACTTTCTTCACAGTGCTGTTACAGCCAGGTCACTTCTGTTAGGGCCTGGTCAGACTGCGGCAAAATCGAAATAATCCTAGGATTATAATGCGAATCTCCATAGTAACTTGCCGCCAGAGCGGCAAAAGCGGGAGTTGACGCTCCAAAAAAAGCAAGAACGGACCACGCTTTTCCGCTCCAACAGGAGTTTGGCGCTGATACGCCATTGACGCTGATATTCACTTACTTTTTCATCTCGATATCGAGGAGCTAATTGGCCATGGACGACAACAAGACTCATAAGGATGGTTGCAAGGATTGCACTGAAGGTGTTGGCGATCCCCAAGGTGAAGGAATTTGAGGTAGTTCGTGGAGATTACCACTTGACGCTCGAAATGAAGTTTGAATTTTCATTCTTCCCACATGTGTAGTGTGATCGCGATTCTAATTCTGGACGCTTTTCTGTTTTCGTCAGGAAACCAAATTTTGGCGCAGTCTGACCAGGCCCTTAGTCACCAATTTCAAAAGGAACATTGTACCTGTTAGGCAAGCTAGAGTAAGTGGATTGGCCAAGGCGGACATTAAACGTTGCAAAAAAAGATTAGTGGTAATAATTATAAAGTCTACTACAAGAAAGCAATTTCAAGAAGCCTAACCAATACATATTCCCAAGCGTGTAAGTATCACCATATGAACCAATCATCCGTACAGCTTCGGTGCTATTACCAACTTCAATCTCACAACCAATCCACAAGAGACAAACTCCGATTCGTTTTTGGTAGAAGCGATTAATTTTTCCCTTGTTCGTTTGTGCACGCCCCTAGGAAGGCATTATGTGCATGTGTGTGTGTGTGTGTGTGTGTGTGTGTGTGTGTGTGTGTGTGTGTGTGTGTGTGTGTGTGTGTGTGTGTGTGTGTGTGTGTGTGTGTGTGTGTGTGTGTGTACACACACACAACAGATCACACGAAAGTGGTGAAGGGCAGTCACACACATACACACGTACATACCCAAATGCAAACAGCCATACACACACCTACACACATACGCATACATACATACACATACATACACACACAACACACACAAACAAAACACACACACACATACACACATACCGGTACGCACGCACACCAAACACACACACACACACGCACACAACATAAAATTAATAATCAATAATTAATTATAGACATAAATACTACGAAGAAGGGCTAGGTAGGCCAAACACAGCTTTGCAAAGCTCTCTCCAAATGCCGAAGTAACACGAACGCATTTCAATAGCAGTGGAAGGCAAACCAGCAGATGGGCCGAAGGGCCGTCGCATGCCCCTACATGGTTACGTCCCCTTGTCTAACCCCCAAGGCGACGCAATAGTAGCCGACTGGCCAAAACCTAAAAAAAAACAAAAAAAAAACCAGCAGAAATAGCCACTTTTCACGCTCTAGTCCTCCCGTATCCTTTCCATGTAGATACTCGTACTGTTGGAGAAAGATTTTACATGTAGTGACATAATGTGAACCACATTCAATACTTATAAGTTACTATACGGTCAGGCAGATGCGGAACCATGTGGGTCAGGTGTTCATTCTCATCAACTCCAGCTCTGTAGCGACCAGTAATGGGAATCGTCAGCGGTAGAGGGGTGGAGGGTGGCTTTGGATATAATTATTCAATCGTGCTCGCACGATTAGAGCCCTCTCTTGAGTAATGCCCACCATCCCCTCTCCAGCATGTGCAGGTTTGGTGTTATTTTGCTACTTGTCTTGCCGATGTCACTTCACTGGTTGTTTCATGATCACAATCGTAGTTCCTGTTGCAGTTTCTGTTGAATCCGGTTTTTTTTCTTTTTTTTCTGATCCCACCTTCTAACCCAGCAAATATTTTGATTTTGATATCGTGCTAGTGAATTGTGCTAAACTTTAGGCTCTTTCTTTCTTTGCTTTATTGCTGGATGACGTTTTTGTACCAGTATTTAAAACACGGTCCCCTTTTTGGAATGGTGCCCACCTGTGATAGACATTGAAAACATAGTGCTCCAGGCGCACAAATCGCACGCGTTCCATATCAAGCTAAACAGGAGGAAGATGATCCATTTGATTTTTCAGTATCCCACCAGCCTCTGTGGATTCACGGGAAATGTGAGTTACGAAGTCTAAACAGGGTGTTGAACGGTCTCTGCTGGGATTCCAGCTCTGTGGTAGGAGCATCGCTGGCCTCAAGCGAAGTTCCCTGGTTCGAGTCCTGGTGGTGACAGTCAATTTTCCTTCAGCCTTTTCTGTTTGTATCCTTCCCTCCAGCCAGTGAATATTCTCAGTATTGTTGAACACTATTCTGTTCTTGTCTGCAGTCACGGATAACGATGAGGGTGGCGATACAGACATCCGTTTGGATGCTTCTTCTGTTGAATTTTACATACGCCACTGTAACAGGTAAGGAGGTCTACCTCATTTTATTTGTCAACATTTTCCGCTCAGATGTAGCACTTTGTGCTCCAGCCTCTCACCGTGTCGCACTACATCGCACTATTTAAAAGAATGGAGAACGATCAGCGCGATGAGTTCCAGTGTGCTGCCAATTTAGCATTTTCCAGAGTAAAAGTAAATTATCTTGTCCGTTCCCGAAGGCAACTCAAAAGGCCCGCTGGCACCCGGTAAAGCCTAGCAGCAGATGCAGGATTTAACCCCTTTGGGTTTTTTTTTTATCGCACAGAAATGGATTTATGGTATGTGTGTACATAATTTTAATTTTGGGCGGCGTCTTCCAGGGCGGTCACACGTGTCTCTTTACCTGCCCTGATCATTGTGTTACTGTGGAAGGTTTTCAAGACCCCTGCAGTCCAGGCTGCAAGTCGGGAGAAACATGTCTGCAAGGACCAACATCAAGTAGCTGCAAATGTAAGTCGTGTTATTGCTGTCCGACCTGAGCTACGTGAGCAGGCGTTGACTTTGGGTTCTTCTGCTCACCTTTGCGTATCATCGTGGCTCGAGTTCTTTGACTACCTGGGCTGCGTGATGGCAGGTTTGCGTTCATATGGGAATCCGCGTTGGGACATTGTTTTGTGCATGTTTGTGGGTGTAGTGACCCCGTACATGCATTTTTGTATACATAAATCATTTTTTATAAAAATGGCCCCTGTATATATTTTCACGTGAAAGAAATAAACTTTCTCTTTGGCCCCAACTTCGTTGTGGTCTGGTTGGCCATTGTAGCCGTCATGGTTGACGTTAAACACCATAATTGGTGACCACTGACACTGCGCTGGGTTGGAGTTGCTGTATGGATGGCATGGAGCAGGCCCATCGCGCCTTCGACCTCCGCGGCCCAGATTGAGCAGGCGCCCAAACACCATAATTATATGCATGTGCATGCATTTTGCTGTGCTATTCGTGTGCTCATGCATGCAATTACAAAGTGCTACGTCCGATTTATTCATTTATTTATTTCACCTGCTAGTGGCCAGAGGGAATAGAGGCCAACATGGAGGGAGGGGGCAATAGGCAGCCATGGCAGCAGGTAGACGCAATGCAAAATGGCTAAATAGAAAACATTATAAGAGGCACGAACTGAGACGGGGCCGGACAAAGAGAAGCAGATGTGAGTGAACAAATACACGTAGTACTCATAGCTAATAGAGCTCAAGCCTCATATAGAACTGCCTCTCAACGTTTTTCAGTAGCCAATTGCTCTCTTTTCTAAGAATTGTTTCATCCGAAGCGTTCCGCACTCTCGGAATGAGAGACGCACGTGACCATTGTTTGTTTGTGTGTGTGTGTGTGTGTCTGTGTGTGTGTGTGTGTGTGTGTGTGTGCGTGCGTGAGTGTGTGTGCGTGTATGTGTACGCGAGTTAGTGGATATGGTTGTGTCCATATGTGTCTGAATGTGCGTGTGCGTGCTTATGTATCTGTGTGTGTGTGTGTGTGTGTGTGTTGTGTGCGTGCGAGTTAGTGCGTATAGCTGTGTCGGTATGTGTGCGTTAAAACCGTCATGTGTCTTGCTCTTGTATCCCGCGATTTAGACGTTATGGTTCACAATCCCAACGTGACCAGCATATCCTCCACGTACTCCATCCAGGCCCTGCAATTCGAGGTGGAGTATTACGACGAATGCATAGGCAGGTGGGTAGAGACGAGCAACTTCACAGCGCAACTCAATGGCCTACCGTTTAGTGTTGTCATGGCCGACAAGCACAAGGGGACGTACTTCCGATCACGGCTCAACATGAAAACACCACAGCTCTACACGATCTCTGTTGTAACCATCGGCGCGCCCCCAACAGGTTAGCTTTCACGTGAAGCAAATTGCTAGAAATAACTATTGTTCCATTCACATTTTTTTTCATGATCAATACTGTCATTTGTGAGGAAATGCTTCCAGGACGTGCTTGTTGGACTGAAAACTTTGTTCCAACAGACATGCATTATGTTAGCCATAGTTCATACTCGACTGACTGTGGCAGTATGAAACGTATGGGAGAGTGTGCCCCGAAGGGACACTTGTGCCAATGAACCACTTGGCGGAAATTGTACGGCAGTAATGTGATGCTTGGTTCGTTGGTTGGATTTATTTAAAGTCGTACAACAAACAGGCATATCTGCCTCCTTATACGAAGACTACTTCTGGCATTTTAAAGAAAAGAGAAAGGAAAAAAAAAGAAAAAGAAGATAAGATCAAGAATGTAGAGACTGGGCATACAGCTAGCCGGAGACTGGGCATACAGCTAGCCGGAGACTGGGCATACAGCTAGCCGGAGACTGAGCATACAGCTAGCCGGAGACTGAGCATACAGCTAGCCGGAGACTGAGCATACAGCTAGCCGGAGACTGGGCATACAGCTAGCCGGAGACTGAGCATACAGCTAGCCGGAGACTGAGCATACAGCTAGCCGGAGACTGAGCATACAGCTAGCCGGAGACTGAGCATACAGCTAGCCGGAGACTGAGCATACAGCTAGCCGGAGACTGAGCATACAGCTAGCCGGAGACTGGGCATACAGCTAGCCGGAGACTGAGCATACAGCTAGCCGGAGACTGGGCATACAGCTAGCCGGAGACTGGGCATACAGCTAGCCGGAGACTGAGCATACAGCTAGCCGGAGACTGAGCATACAGCTAGCCGGAGACTGAGCATACAGCTAGCCGGAGACTGAGCATACAGCTAGCCTCGGCATGTATCAGAGCATCAGGATTACTACATACTTCTAGTACTATTCAAGACAGGGGAAGGGGGTTGCTGTCATGCTACAGTAAGACAATACGCGTGCAACACACCCTTGAACTGGAGGGGGGGGGGGGGGACGTGATGTGGCAACTATACTACCGATCAAGATGGGAAAAATAACAAACGGATTGAATCTTCTCAGCCTATCGCGATGTGTTTCCAGCTCATGAATTTTATCAAGAGTACATAACCCCAAGAATGTGCAACACATGATCCAACTCTGCATAGGGTCGGATTGAATCTTCTCAGCCTATCACGATGTGTTTCCAGCTCATGAATATTACCAAGAGTACATAACCCCCAGGAATGTGCAACACCTGATCCAACTCTGCATTGGGTCTTGGCCGAGCGTAATCGGATCTTCTGATATCATGCGTACACTCCACACCAGCGCAAGGCCGGTCTCGAGGCAGGGCACCGGTGTTTTTGATCCGAGAGTACCCGAAATTCCCCGGGTTCCCCTCAGATGTGTACGGTATTATGATGCAAAGATCCGATTACGCTCGACCAAGACCCTATGCAGAGCTGGATCAGGCGTTGCACACTCTGGGAGTTATGTACTCTTGATATTATAATACTCTGTTCTCCCGGCTTACGCCTTTTGGGCAGATATCGGACGGTGTTGCCCTCATTCTCGCATATTTTGTAGAAGATGAAAAAAAATGGTTGGCAAAAAGACACACACGGCACTAGCCATACTTCACAATGTGGTGTTGTATGGCGATAGACTATGGATGACGCGAGTGAAAAGACTAGCTGAGGGAGATGAGTTGAAATGATCAGATGCAGTAGGCCTGTAGCTATAGGTCAAAAGTGAAAATGATCATCATCAGAAAATTGTGTCCATCATGTTCATATTCTATGCATTGCTCTCTTCTCTTGTGTTGTCTATGAACCTCAGGGCATCCAACCTACCGCTTTCCCAACTTTCCGTACCTCATTTCGGCGACGGACGTCCGCAACAACACACAAGCCATGGTGACCATTTCTCTACCAACTATTGAAGGATCGCCCGATCTGCAAGTCGAAATTGGCGACTCAAAACATATATTGGCAGCGGTCAACACGTCCGAGAGCACGGTATCACATTATGTCGACCTCGCCCTGAGTCGCCAATATCAGATCCGCGTTTCCAGCCGCGCGGCTTCGGGCTCAGTTGCTTTTCCATCAATGGCAGTGTCTTTCCATATTGGAGGTAAGCTCAGGATTTCCTAGGCAAACACAATTCTCCAGAACGTCTGCAGACTGGACCGGAAATTGTACCACCTTGCACATAGGTTGGCAGGATCTTGAGGTCAATCCTGTGTGCATTGTGCCACCATCCACATATTAAGCTTACACAATTGATATTTAAAATCTTGTAGGACGCATCACGCAGCTTCATAAGTAAAAAATTGGTTTGTGAGCAACACTGGCTCACACTCAAATCACTGCTTTTCACCAGAAAAATATTTTATTTCAACGTTTCGGCTCTGAAATAACCATCATAAGGAATGAAGTGGGCACACCGGTTAGGATGGGTTAATAAATGAGGAGCGCTGCGAACTGATAATTTATCACACTTGCATGCACTATTAGGAGAGAGAAAAAAAGACAAAACATCACAAATAAACTGGTGTAGAAATAACACAATACGCGACAACTCTAAATATGGCACCGGTACAGGCACCAAACAGAATGTACATGATTGTACAGTAGGTCCGTGCATACATGTAATTGCAGATGCTAGCAACAACAGTAGTAGTAACAGTGCATGGGGTGCAAAACCACCACTATCCAGGAAAAGCGAGTATCAGGGCCAAAAAGTATCAGGGCCAGAAATATGTACAAGGCATTACTTTAGTATCAGGGCCAGAAATATCTGCAATACTTCACCGGAGACTTCACAGGAGGTTCCACCCTGCGTTATTGTTTATGCTGGGGCTCGTGTCGCGAATTTGTATTGCTTCGCGTATTCTCCTCCTGGCCCGATCCGACTCAGTGGCAAGGACGCGAACCTCTGTGAATGCCGACTCACCAAGCGGCAGTACCTCGCTGCCATGGTGAAGTCGGTAGTGCTCGCCGAGGGCTTTTCCAGACGTCTTGTTGCGTGAGTTATCATTGTGTTCTTTTGTTCGCGTTGCTACACTATGGCCAGTCTCCCCAAGAAACTTTTCCGAGCATTTGCAGGTCAGACGATATACCACGTTGCGTCTTGTGCATTCTAGCTCGCTCGACTGGCATGCAACGCAAGCGGCTTTAGGCCTTCCTCGTCGCCTCGGGGCAGCGGGATCCACCCACTCACGGCAGCAAGGTCCAGTGAGGCTGGGCTTAGTGACGCTGTTGGAAAGCCTTGCATTCTTGTAGATTATCTGCACATTTAGGTTGTATTTGTTCAGAAGACGTTGGGCTCTGTAGTGGATGGCATCCGTTTTGAATGATAACTTCAACGTGGATAGATTGTCTTTCTTTTTTTTAGCAGGTCGTCTGGCTCGTTCATGAGCAGTCGCGATAACGTTGTCAGGAAAAATGTTGAATTTAATGTGTCAATAACCTTTTGCTCACTTATTATTATTATTATTATTATTTTTTTCTTATTTTGGTAGGGATTTCCCAACAGGCAATGTTGCCTTTTTACTGGGAACCCTAAATGAGACTTTGTGTGAGCGCGAAACAAAGCAGGCGACTCGGCCAGGCGACAAGATGGACTTTGCTGGCGGGCTACAGGATCAGAGGAAAGGCGCGGAGGAATGCCGAAGACGCGATGGCGAGATTTTGCTGTTGCGGAATGCACGAGTTGAAATCTGAGACGAAACCACTATGGCAAGCTTTGCAGAACAGCTCGAATGATATTGCGCCCTCGGAGGAGACATGAATAGTTGTGTCCATAAATTCAACCGACCCAGTTTCCTCCGAAGATTGATATGTGAATTTGATGTTCGCATTGGCGGTGTTGAGGAATGCAATAAGTTGGCAGAGATGCGCGGCCCCCAGTGTCCACAGCATAAAGATGTCATCAATATAGCAATTGTAGAGTACGGGGGCACCAGGTGCGTAATGCAACAGCGAGGTTTCAAGGTCATGCTTGAAGATAATCGCAAACGGGGGTGCCAGGTTGTTATCCATGGCGATGCCTTCCCTCTGGTGGTAGACCTCACCAAATCTGAAATAATTGGATGTTAGAAAGAAGGTTAACAGCTCTTCGATCTGCTCCACGCTGAAACCAAATGTGTCGACAGACTCGGTGTGCTGCTGCAGGACTCTAGCGACCGCCTCCACCCCTTCAGCGATAGGGATACTTGGGTAGAGAGCGACCACGTCCATTGTAACGATGATGGTACCCGCAATATTGATCACCAGTAGATGTAGGTGCTAGCGACGATTCGCTGTTGTTATAATGCTAGGTCAGGGTGACCGTACTCGTGATGTATTTGATTCCATCGCTGCAGGGATGTGCAGCTATATGGGACAGTCCTATCCAGACGGCGGGCAGTACACGGATAACTGTGCATTCGGCAGCGATTGCACGTGTAACGTAAGTGAACATCTGCTATACCTGTATACTGTTACCGTTTCATACACGCAGGAACGGTCGCCGGTCCTTTATCCTCTTCACTGGTCGTTCTCTTGATATTATTATCACTGTAGTGTCTTGTATTAAAGCCGGCCTCACATAGAAGCCTGTTTTGAATAGAAGCCTAAGATACACTGTCAGCATATAAGCCTGGTTTTAGTGTTGATATACATAGAAATACCTGGTGTGAATAGAAATATCTGATGTGAATAGACTTCTGCTTCTACAGGAATAAGCCCTGCTATAATACCCTACATTCGGTTAGAAGTAGCAAGACGTATGCGAGTGGCAGTAACCGGACAACTTCCTGCGCTGTTCATTTTACTCTTCTAACTTAGTTCCTTTCTCGTTCTTCGTTTCATATCCACAGAATGGAGTGGGTGGGTGCCCAAATTCGAAACCGTGCACTGATAGCCCCTGTAACGGCACGACGCATTGCTGTCAGGAATGCCCACCTACGTGGACCGATGGTAAGGCCACGTGCGTATTTGTATGCTGGTATTCCTGGGAATTGTATTTAGTAACTTTATTTCTCTAAACACTTAAAAAACGATTATCATGCCACTCAACGCCAGCGAAACTCTCAATCTGAGTGGCTCTGTTTTGCATCGCAATTGTGTAGCTTCCCATGGACGTTGTAAAAACAGGCTGATGTCAAGCTCCACCTACGCCGTGTTCTTTTGTGTATTTCCACTGATGAGATAACATGGCAGTTTTTTATTTATTTTATTTTATTTTTTTTACTATTGAACACTCACTGTGGTGGCAATTGAAGTCCGAGCCCTGTTTTTCGGGCTGGTGTGCAGCACCGATTTTATCGGCCATGCGGACAGCGGAGCCAACATGGCCGACGAAGCATGATCCATAAATGCGGAGGTTGAGTGGAGTTTCCCTCATGTGGTCAGTGGGCACATTATGGGAAGCCACTGTACATGTCAGTCACACTGTGCATCTACTGTGCATCTACTGCTTACACAGCTGCATAATGACGTTTATTATTATTTTAATATAGCTATGAATAGGATGAAGGCCGCAGACGTCACGCAACTACGTTACTTGTTTGACATGTATTTACTGTGTATTTATAACAAAAATATTATTGAAAACCCATAATCGATTTTCTTGTTCCTATCATCAGTGGGAAAAAAATACGGAACTAAGGATACAACCAAAGAAGCTGAAGTTAAGTACTGTAAATAGAAAGGTGTTAGAATTCAGTTTCTTTGGTTGTATCCTTAGTTCCGTATTTTTTCCCACTGATGATAGGAACAAGAAAATCGATTATGGGTTTTCAATAATATTTTTGTTATAAAATACACAATCTAAGTTAGAGAAATAACACTAAGAGCAACAACAGTGAAATTTACAAGTGTGAATTTTAACAATCAAAGCGAGAACTGAACAAAGGAGAAAGGAAGGAAAGACAACGTGATAACACATAACAGCAGTACATTACACCTAGAACATTAACGGCCAAGCTTGGCCGCACTAAACACGACGCGTTACTTGAACAATTTCAACCCAATTATACTATCTTTCTGTACACACAAATTAGCCTTGTACAGACGCTGATAGATAGCTTCCAACACTTTTAACTGTAGTCCATAACCATGACGACCACGGTACAATACAGTGAACGAAGAGTCGGAATACGCACCGCAACAATCAGGACTAGCCAGCAGATGATTGTACACTGAAGACTTGCTACCACGAAACCTACGCACAACACTAACACTCTCACCGGCACTCTCACCATCACTCCCATCACTGCTCTCCGACTCACTGCTCCCTCCGCCGTCCGTTCCATCCTCCGCTTCTTCTGTACTCTCTCTGTCTCGTCCATCCCGCCTGACCGGGTCCATTGAACTCAACTCGGCCGTCCCCCCGCAATCACGTCCCTCCTTTCGCCCTCGTCCGCTGAGTGCGTAGCTTCTGTTGTAGTTGGCTGTTGATCGTCTTGGTCTTTCAATTATGGGCTTGGATGGTGGATTAGTTGTGGTTGCTGTAGATTGCGTTGTTGGTGTTGGTCTGGGAGTTACTGATATGCAAGGTGGGTCTTTTTGAGTCGGCATTTGTAGTGTTAATGCAGCTGTCAGTGTTGCTCGCGGTCTGCCACTGGCAAGCTCCACCGCCAGTGGCAGACCGCGAGCAACACTGACAGCTGCATTAACACTACAAATGCCGACTCAAAAAAACCCACCTTGCATATCAGTAACTCCCAGACCAACACCAACAACGCAATCTACAGCAACCACAACTAATCCACCATCCAAGCCCATAATTGAAAGACCAAGACGATCAACAGCCAACTACAACAGAAGCTACGCACTCAGCGGACGAGGGCGAAAGGAGGGACGTGATTGCGGGGGGGACGGCCGAGTTGAGTTCAATGGACCCGGTCAGGCGGGATGGACGAGACAGAGAGAGTACAGAAGAAGCGGAGGATGGAACGGACGGCGGAGGGAGCAGTGAGTCGGAGAGCAGTGATGGGAGTGATGGTGAGAGTGCCGGTGAGAGTGTTAGTGTTGTGCGTAGGTTTCGTGGTAGCAAGTCTTCAGTGTACAATCATCTGCTGGCTAGTCCTGATTGTTGCGGTGCGTATTCCGACTCTTCGTTCACTGTATTGTGCCGTGGTCGTCATGGTTATGGACTACAGTTAAAAGTGTTGGAAGCTATCTATCAGCGTCTGTACAAGGCTAATTTGTGTGTACAGAAAGATAGTATAATTGGGTTGAAATTGTTCAAGTAACGTGTCGTGTTTAGTGCGGCCAAGCTTGGCCGTTAATGTTCTAGGTGTAATGTACTGCTGTTATGTGTTATCACGTTGTCTTTCCTTCCTTTCTCCTTTGTTCAGTTCTCGCTTTGATTGTTAAAATTCACACTTGTAAATAAAATACACAGTAAATACATGTCAAACAAGTAACGTAGCTGCGTGATGTCTGCAACTACTTACTTTTTTGTCTAGGTCATCAAGGCAAAAAAGCATAGTGTAGGGCCCTGAGCTTCCAAGCTCTCTCGTTTTGTCTTTCTCGGGGTGCATATTGTCCCACCACCTTCGTTTCTTTTGCCCTCCCTTTGTATTGCAGATATCAATGAATGTATCAGCCCTGCTAACAACTGTTCTCCATTCGCCAAATGCACAAACACCTATGGGTCTTATACATGCACGTGTCGTATGGGTTACCACGGGAACGGTGCAACATGTAACGGTGAGTTTGTTTTACGCCACGCGTAATGTTAGTTGAATGCTTGAGTGTTGTGTTCCAGGCCAAATATGGACTGATATTTATTGCTGCCGTAAAGCGTGTCTCTGTCCTTCGTATTTGGGCTTTTTCTGTTCGTTCAATTATTTATTGTTATAAGCATTCCCGCGTTGAAGTGTTGCAGAAGTCTGTGCTGAGTCCACAGCTTTCCTTACTCTGAATGGCGTCGGTGAGAGCTGGAGGACAGGGGAGAGAAAGCAACGGGGTAGTCAACAAGAATTAACCATCTAGTGTTTGACAATGCGATGTAGAGAACCAATCTACACGTGCTTGACTGCGCACGAACAGGGGAGACAAAGGTCTAGATCTATGTCTGGGTCTAGGGCCTTGATATACATGTACGTAAAAACTAATGATAAATCTGTGCTGCGCTGAAGAGTTTGCAAAGAACGAAACAGCATGCTGTCCGCAGATTGAGTAATAATAAAAATTATGTAATTTTTCACTGCACCATTGTTAGGCACCGTTAGGCGCTGCATCTGCCGCTAAGGTTTACCGGGGTTTACCGGGTGTTAGCGGCCGTCGTGAGTTCCCTTCGGGAACGGACACGATAATTTCTTTCTTTATTTTTATTTATTGTTTTGATTCAGAATGCAAAGTCGACCCCGAGTCTAACATTGTAACATTACATCACTGGAAAGCAGTACCTGTCTCTTGCAAAACTGGGTTTAAGTATATACCAACTCATTTGACCAAAGAATGCCAAACCTTCTCGGAAACTGGCTTTTGGAAAAACATTGGAGAGTGTGAAGGTAAGGTTCTCGCTGATTCGTACTGGTTGATAGGCCTGCTGTCCCCGCCCTGCCCCCCCCCCTCCCTCTCACCACACACATTCATCTCTTTGATGCGCGTTTTGTGCGGGGTATGTTTACACGTGTGTGTGTGTGTGTGTGTGTGTGTGTGTGTGTGTGTGTGTGTGTGTGTGTGTGTGAGCATGCAAGTGTTCAGTGTTTGCTTGAATGCATGTGTGCTTGCCTGTGGACATGTATGTGTGTATGTGTATGTGTGTGTGTGTGTGAGTGTTCTTGTGTATGTGTGTGTGAGTGTTTTTGTGTGTGCGTGTGTGTGTGTGCATGGGTGTGTGTGTGTGCGTGTGTGTGTGTGCGTGTGTGTGTGTGCGCATGTGTGTGTGTTTGTGTGTGTGTGCGTGTGTGTGTGTGTGTTAGGCCCCAGCGGCAAATGCTAGCACCCAAAGTAGCATAAAAGGGCCTTTTTGTGACTCCACACGATGCTAGCATAAACAGCAGTTTTTACCGGCATCCGATACATTTTTGCCAATTTTGGCATTCTGGATGTGGAATTCGGTCTAGATTACACTATGAAACTAGTATTAGGATTACTGAGCCTTATGTAGTCTTTGGTTGGAAACGTCACCAAAGCGACTCGCCATCAGCCTCGGACTCGTGTTCACTGTTGCCTGTGGTCTGCGATGGTGTAGGGATTGCCGTTTTGCCTTGAGTGGAGATAAAATAAATAAATAAATAGTACGGTTCGCGTACCGGGCAGGTCAAGAACTGCCTTTCCACTTCCGTGGAGATGCCGGTAGTTATTTTGAAGGCGAAATATGGAGAACAGCAATCAAGCGGAGTGTGGCGACTTATCTGATTCTGCTCAGCATTCAGATGACTCCCCAGAATTTGTTCCCAGCAATTCCTCTGAGTCTGAAGACGAAGAGGTAAACCGCGTATTGAAACGTCTTTCCGTCGCTGAAGAAGCTGCAGTGGCTAGGAAACGGTCACTGACGGGAAGCAGTAAAAGTGGAGGTGATAACAAGCGTAAGAAAGTAAGCGGGGGGAAGTCTACCTCTGCATCACGAGTAAGTTGCCACGAGCAAGACCCACATTGCCATTGGTACTTCTTGGTATTTGCTCTTTTGTATTGCAAATATTTCCATAGCAACATGATGCCAACATCGCACCTTTAAAAATTCTTTTTACATACCTGCTTTGTGAGAATTCATAAATAGCACGGAACACCGTTTTCAACCCAAATGTTTCACCATTACCATTAATAGGTAGCATAATTCGTGTTGTCTAGCATCCAAACTAGCATCTTTCTGAGTTGTCAGCTAGCATCCCAAAAAGCATCTTGGCAACATTTTGCTAGCATCTGCCGCTGGGGCCTAGTGTGTGTGCGCGCGTGTGTGTGCGTGTGTGCGTGTGTACAAGCAGCACAAGTTGATATGTCTAACATAGCTGTTCGCTATCATCGCTTCCGCGATGGGCAGGTCTGAGGTCTGAGGTGTGTGTGTGTCCGAGTGTAACTGAGTGAATGTGAGCTATATTGACCACCCAAAACATCTCCCTTCGCTCATTGCTCTGTCTACTTTTCTCCCATCAGTAAAGAGCCTCTAGATCCGAAAAAGGGGCTTATGCCGTTTTGGCCGTTTTTTGAGAATAATGCATTTGAAAGTTGAGTTTTCCGTATTAAGAGATGTTTAAAATTATATTATTTGAAACACCCATACCTCTGAGAAAAATAAGGATTTTAGACCTAGCTTTTTTTTCAGAGTGATCTCCTGGGGTATATGGCAATGCCATGGTATAGATAACTTAATTCCCGTAGCTATGCAGAAGACGTTACTTCAGTAACGTCTGGCGCTAGCCAGGGTCCACACAGCTTTAATTCCCGTAGCTATGCAGAAGACGTTACTTCAGTAACGTCTGGCGCTAGCCAGGGTCCACACAGCTTTAATTTGGTATTTGTGTGTGTGTTTGTTTGTTTGTTTGTTTGTTTGTTTGTGTCACGCCTGGCGCTATCCCGTATCTGTCCCGTACTGTACCGTACCAGCAAAGACAGCTGGCCACAATATTTTTGTTTGTGTGTGCCATCGACATGCCTGGCGCTATCCCGTACCTGTCCCGTACCATCAAGAGTACGGTACCATCAAGAGAATGAGTATATATGCGAAGTGTATCGGGGGAATGCATTCAGTGCATTAACATTTTGTGTGGATTTGTGTGCGAGGCCGAGATCCCACTAGCAGGCTGGCTGGCCCGCCTGTCGACCAGCCTGGGAATCGCATGTAGGCTGATAGCATAATAATTATAACGTACTTATATACAGTCATGTAGATGTATAGCAGGAAGTCATATTATGTAAACGAATCCCTCCTGTAAGGGGAGATTTTCTGGAAAGAAATACGAAGTAGGGAGACGAGTAAATGCAATCAGAATGGATGTTAGTTGCCGTCAGTATAATAATAAGAAGAAGAAGAAGGACGACCGTGATCGGCAGAGTCAGCGCCGGTCCCAGGAAACGTCAGGACAGACATCCCGTCGACTCCAGAACGCCCGGGATCGGCAGAGTCAGCGCCGGTCCCATAGCTATGCAGAAGACATTACTTCAGTATCTGATTGAAACGTTTTTGCAATACAATGATGTAGCTAATCAAAGGAAAAAGCATTTCCATCAGTTCCAACAACATGCACGATGAGCTAGGCAACAAAGCATAGCGCAGGGCCCTGAGCTTCCAAGCTCTCTCGTTTGGTATTTGTTTGTGTGTTTGTTTGTTTGTTTGTGTCACGCCTGGCGCTATCCGTATCTGACGGCAAAAAAGCATAGGATGTTATAAATTTTTCAAATTCTCCTATTTTTTTTTCAGGCATATCCTGGGATTCAAACCCGCACTATCGCCCTACATGCATCCCCCCATACACTTCGCATTCATACCCATTCTTCCAAGTTGCTTCATGTTATGATCTTGCGTTTGAAAGCCCTATTTGAATATTGCGGCCAGCTGTATGTGGCCAGCTGTGTTTGATGGTACGGTACGGTACGGGAGACGGTGTCGTATTACCCTCGATCGTACCTGTCCCGTACCTATCCCCTACCGTACCGTGCCATCAAAGACGGCTGGCCACAATGCATTTTCAAATAGGGATTTCAAATGCAAGATCACAATCTGAAACAACTTAGAAGAATTAGTATGTATGCGAAGTGTATCGGGGATGCATGCAGGGCGCACGATAGTGCGGGTTTGAATCCCAGGTTATGTCTTAAAAAAAAAGGATTCTTTAAAGAATTTTATAACATCCCTATGCTTTTTTTTGTCTAGGTCATTAAGGCAAAAAAGCATAGCGTAGGGCCCTGAGCTTCCAAGCTCTCTCGTTAAACTGCTCGAAAAGGACATAAGCCCCCTTTCTGGATCTAGAGACTCAAATATGAGTACGATTCTGCTGGTTAGAGAGTAGCTTTGCCTATTTTGGGTCCTGATGTCTACACGGAGATGAGGTTCTCTACCTTATGGCACACGCAAAGGAAATGCGTAAGGATGTGCTGGGTGCTAGTATCATTCCAATCAGACAGAAAACTTGGACATTTGGAACGGGAAATCACCAACACATGTACACAGTTGACATGATTGCTTTCGTGAACGTACAGTAGAGCAGCTCGCCGACTACTTTAATACTTCTCAATAGTGCCTTCTCAATCCTACTTCAAAACGCGAAAGGAAGTAGAGGAGGAAGATAAGCATGACCAAACAGTAGAATGCAGTGTATTCCAAGCCTGTTTGGAGCAATTTCTGCAAAGACACTAGTTCGATCATAAACCTGTCAGTTGTCACCTAAAGCGATAATCTCATTGATAGAAAAGGACGTTTTTAAAGTCTCCTGGTGAAACAAATGTATAATGTATTCTATTTCAAGGATTCTTCAGAGGCCGTTTAGGCCTATCGAGGGGGTCTCCATTTCTGTCCAGTTCGGATGAGGATATGAGAATACAAAGTGAGCAGAGAAGGAGAAATAAGACGGCCAAGAGGACAACTGGGAAAGAATAGGGTATTTCATATTCGTTGAGGTGAGCAGATCAATGAGGCAAAACAGGGGATAGGTTTGCATGACAATCCCTGTCCTGTACACTGCCGGTTTGCTCTTGCCTGATCCTGGCTATCACGAATAGCAGGGCTCTGCACCCTGTGGTATGCATCTTTCAGCTGGTGTTCGTTTCTTTCCTCTCCTTGTTCGATATCAGATTTCAATGAATGTGTCAATTCTACTCATGACTGTCATTCATCAGCAGTATGTACAAACACCAAGGGTTCATTCACATGTGCGTGTAAAGCTGGATTTTCCGGAGATGGCAAAACTTGCGTAGGTGAGTTTCATAGCGCTTCAGGTAGCGCAAACTCTGCTACGTGTGCATTGTAGTATTGTTGAAATGGCACCTGAGGATGATGTCGGTATTCGAGAAATAACATCAATTAATTTTCCACCGAAATTTTCCGCCGAAGTCGCAACAAACCTTTCTTCTCATACAAATGAATGGTCGATCATTTGTATGAGAAGAAAAGGTTATTGCGACTTCGGCGATAGTTGGGGAATAGTGTATTGGGAGGTGGGGGCTTTTCTGGCCGCACTTGAATTCACCCTTGACCGACTCACCACAGCCATCCAATGCACACACGAAGTCAATTTAACCTGCAAACGTGCAATACAGCTCCAGCGCCCTGCTCATTACACGACGTGTATAAAGTCAGTCAGTGAGAGCCGGCCATTAGCAAAGCACAGTGTGCTACGTACAGTGTGGGGTGAACACGGCCATGGAGTTTCATGCAGGTCGGCATGTGTCCTGTACTGAGAGGGGTCAGTGACAAATAGGGTTTAATTCCCGTAGCTATGCAGAAGACGTTACTTCAGTAACGTCTGGCGCTAGCCAGGGTCCACACAGCTTTAATTTGGTATTTGTGTGTTTGTTTGTTTGTTTGTGTCACGCCTGGCGCTATCCCGTATCTGTCCCGTACCGTACCGTACCATCAAACACAGCTGGCCACATACAGCTGGCCGCACTATTCAAATAGGGCTTTCAAACGCAAGATCATAACGTGAAGCAACTTGGAAGAATGGGTATGAATGCGAAGTGTATGGGGGAATGCATGTAGGGCGATAGTGCGGGTTCGAATCCTAGGATATGCCTGAAAAAAAAAATAGGAGAATTGAAAAATTTATAACATCCCTATGCTTTTTTTGCCGTCATCAAGGCGGTAGACGGTGTCGTATTACCCTCGATCGTACCTGTCCCGTACCTATCCCGTACCGTACCGTACCATCAAAGACGGCTGGCCACAATGCATATTCAAAGAGGGCTTTCAAATGCAAGATCATAACGTGAAGCAACTTGGAAGAATTAGTGTGTATGCTAAGTGTATCGGGGGATGCATGCAGGGCGCGCGATACTGCGGGTTCGAATCCCAGGTTACAGTATGTCTTTAAAAAAAGGAATTTTTTAAAGAATTTATAACATCCCTATGCTTTTTTTGTCTAGGTCATCAAGGCAAACAAGCATAGCGTAGGGCCCTGAGCTTCCAAGCTCTCTCGCCCAGTCACTAAACTTTATTATTCATGTGTTATGTATTGTGTGCAGGCTTTGGGGCTGGATTCCTCATTGTTTTTTTATCATGACATAGCGATAAAAACGGCCAGTCATGAATGGTCGATGTGTCACAATACTGTGACAGAAAACTTCTAGATCCCGTATTGACCCATTCATTCGCTTGATCCAAGTGGAACCAAGAGCCAGCAGTGTTGTACCTATGATACGGCTACGTTTTATGCGGGTTAAATCCCTGCACATTGTTTGCCAAACTGCGGAAACTTGAAAGTGATGAACAATTGTTACGCAGAACTCGCGAAATTAGGGAACAATTCGAACGTGTTGAATCAAGGGACCAATCATTTGATTACTAACCAGTAATCATGTGTGAGTGTTGTGGCTATGCTTAGGGATCGAGACAAGAGATCACGATGCGAACACTGCTACAATATTTGTTCCATTCCTTTCCCTTTTATGTTACTGCAGAGATCGATGAGTGTAGCAGCGGCGGCCATAACTGTCTCTCATCAGCGGTTTGCACAAACACTGTGGGTTCATTCACCTGTGCGTGTAATCCTGGTCTGACCGGAGATGGCAAAACGAAATGCGATGGTGAGTTCCATAGCGCTGAAAGACCTCTCCTTCCCTGTTCGCTTCACTATTTTTTTTGACGTGAGCGCTACAACAAATGCCGTAGTTCAATTTTGTTTTGTATTATAATTTTTTTTCCTTGGGCATTTCCAACAGACCCTAAGGTTTTGTTACAGGGCGACCAAGTTTTTGTTGTTTGTTGTTTGAAATCTTTTATTCTCACGTTGTTGTTGTTGTTTCAAATCTTTATTCTCACGATAGCCAGTGGCCAATAAGAGATAATAGTGTAAGAAAGGAGAAAGAGTGAGGAAGAATTGGGTGGGCAGGGCCTAGGGGTTAATGACTACTTAAGTGTACGGGCAGGGGTGGTCGCCACACGAGCATACAGAGTTGCGTACTTAAGTGTACGGGCAGGGGTGGTCGCTACACGAGCATACAGAGTTGTGCAACAGCAGGGATATCTCGGATTTGAAGGGAGTACGAGAAGGGTTTTCGCGAAGCTGGGTGGGCAGGCAATTAAAGTAATGAAGGGCCTTGTACAGGGGAGAATGGAGACAGCGGTCAGTCCGCGGAGTTGGCAAGTGCCAAGTACGAGAGCGACGTAAATTATACGAAGGTTGCACGTTGCTAGCAGTATGCAGCGAGAGTATATGTGGTGGGGCATAATTGTGGCGCAGAGAATGCGAGAAGAGTATATGTTTAACTTTAAAACGTGAAAATAATGTTGGCCATTTGATGCGATGCAAAAGGTGGGAGTGTTCTAAGTGTGTGTAAAGGGGAAGGTGGAGACATATTCTGGCGGCTTTCCGCTGGAGTCGTTCTAGCCTGTCAAGGGAAGTGTGGGACAACGGTGTGAGAGCAGTGCTCGCATATGAGAATATAGGTAGTATGTATGTCTGATAGATGTGAGATAAAGAATCACTGGTGAGTGTAGACCTTAGTCTAAAAAGAATATTGAAAGACTTGAGTGATTTTTTGACTATGTATTCAACATGCTCCGTCCAACGGAGGTCATGCTGAAAGATTATTCCGAGGTGTTTGTGTTTTTGTGCTACGGTAAGCGGACTATTCCTGAGGGTGATCTGGGGTAGCTGTTCAGGGGGGCGGTTATTGTGGTAGAACGGGAGGATGACTGTTTTCTTTGTGTTAACCAGCAGGTGCCATCTTTGAAGCCAGTCTCCAGCTGCTGTGACACTCTGTTGTAGGTTTCGGGTGCAGTCTTGAAGAGTTCTCGCTATGGAAATCAGAGCGGTGTCATCTGCAAACTGGCTACAGGTGGTGCCGGGATTCTCACATGCATGTGGAAGGTCTATGGTGTAGACGAGGAATAGAAGCGGCCCAAGAACAGATCCCTGAGGGACGCCGGCAGGGATCTCGAGGAAAGGCGATAGGTCGCCATCCACCTGGACCCTTTGCCGACGCCCCAACAGGTACCGTCGGAACCACTCCAGGGCGTTGCCCTGGACACCATAGTGGGAGAGTTTTGCTAGAAGGCCTGCATGCCACACACGATCGAAGGCCTTGCTTAGATCGAAAAAGCAGGCATTGACGTGTTTCCCGTCGTTGTTGTTGTTGTTGTTGTTGTTGTCGTCGTCGTCGTCGTCGTCGATGTTGTTGTTGTTGTTGTTGTTGTTGTTGTTGTTTGAAATCTTTTATTCTCACGCTGTTTGAATTTTTGAATTCTTTATTCTCACGATTCCACCATCGCCAATAAGAGATAAATTTATGAGAAGGTGAGATGGTTGTTGTTGTTGTTGTTGTTTCAAATCTTTATTCTCACGATAGCCAGTAGCCCGCATGAAATAATAGTGTGAGTGGGGAGAAATAGTGCGGAAGAATTGGGTGGGCAGGGATTAGTTCGAGAAGGGATTTCGCGAAGCTGGATGGGCAAGCAATTAAAGTCATGAAGGGCCTTGTACAGGGGTGAATTTAGACAGCCAGCAGTCCTTGGAGTTGGCAAGTGCCACGTTCGAGAGCCGCATAAATCATACGAGGGCTGACCGCTGCGAGGGGTAGGAAGCGAGAGTATTTGGTGGGGCATTGTTGTGGTGCAGAGAATGTGCGAAGAGTGTATGTTGCTGTTTTTGTTGTTGTTGTTGTTGTTGTTGTTGTTGTTGTTGTGGTTGATTTTAATTGTTTGTCAATTTTGTCTATGCGCCTGTCTACTTGCAGATATCAATGAATGCAACAATGGTAGCTCCTGCGTTCCATCCGCAACCTGTGCAAACACATTTGCATCATTCACATGTACTTGCAAACTTGGTTTCCATTACCATAACAACACATGCAAAGGTGGGTTTTAAGATCGTGCTGTGACCTCAAATTTCACCTCGTAGTAATTATTATGAGACGACCAGCCGCTGTGTTTTGCTACTTTTCTTTCGCCCAAAATGGTTGAGTGAATGGCAAGAGAGCGAGTCTGTTCTGAAATCTGTTTTCCTATGAATGAAGCTGCAGGAAGCCTCAACGCTGCTACCAAAAATGGTTACATAGCCAAACAAAAATGCACGGTTCGCTTAAGACGCAGTTAGACTGAGTCTTCAGCATCCGTTCGAACGCCACCACCCTGCAAAGATTAAAGGTGCAGGTACAGCTCCTAAAGCGGTGGGAGCCGAGTAGACTAGCCCGCCATCCAATTGGTCAAAGACCGAAAATCTCATTCCCTGCGTCCATATTTCCCTCGTGCCACGCCACGAGTTCCATGGGTCACAACGCCTAAAAAAATCCTTCCGCTTCCAAGCCGGACTTAAACCTGGCACACTCTGTTTCTCAATCGTTTTTTTTCTCTCTCTTTCTTCTTCCCCCTTCGCTACCTTGTCATTGGGAAGAAATTTCCGTTTGGATTTTGCGCAGTAAAACAAAGTTTAGCAAACATCTTGGTCATCCCACTATGTATGCCTATGTAGCCAAGTTAAAGGGAAATAACAGTGTGTTGTCAGTCCTGCGATTCACCGATTTAATTGGAAAACTGTGGACATGGATGATAAGCATGTTGATTCAGTCAAAAGTCAGCTGATGCCTGCATGTATATCAATTTTATAATCCCAGTTGTATAGTCGGCCTCGAAAGCATGCGTATTAGTTTCTAGTCATTGACATGAATGAACGACAGTCATTCCCCTGGACAGAGTTGAGAGCTACATATCCATGGAAGTCTGAAGGTTGGCAAGCCCTAGGCGGAGGAAGTACGGGGGGGGGGGGGAGGCTCCTGATGATTGAATGAAACTCTGAGTTGAGATGATAACTGTGTTCCACTGGCTTCTCGTTTCAAGTACTTGGGGATAGTGATCTTCAGGACGTACCAGTTTCAAGTATTAATACATATATAATGCGGTGGCAGGTTGTTGAGAACATCAACTGCAATCCTGGTAATGATCCAGCTGAATCCAGTCATGAATGATCGATGCTCAGTGCTAAAAACGTAAATAATTATTCTGGAGTTGTACAGTGGTGTTTTCGAACCAGGCAGGCTGGTATGATGGAGAGAGAGAGAGAGTGGATTTACATGTACCGGTATATTACCCAAGTTCCCAAGAGTCAGTAGAAGAAAAACCTCTCCAGTCTGGTCCCCAACACTGAAATGCTACTGTCGTGCTCCGAGTACCTCTCTGCAGTCGAAATATCATCTGTAGATGCTCCGAGTGTATCTCTAAGGATGAATGTTTCTCCGTCCAATTTCTCACTTTTGTGTTCTGTTACTGGTACCACATCTGTGCCCTATTTTTCTCAATCCTTTCATTGTAGGAGCGACCAAATGTGACGATGCCTGCACCGAAATCAGTGCACTTCCCGTAGTATATGCCAACGCCACGAGCGCACAAAAGATTTGTCAAGGGAGAAAACTTGCATACCATAAAGATGCTAAGGTTGTTTCCTTGGACAGTAAACCGTGCGTTCTCAACCATTTCAAGGCGATCGGCGTGGAATCGGACACAATGTTCTGGACATCAGACCCTGGTAGCGTAACTGTCCCCCCACAGCTTCTTTCGAGTACAGCGAACCCCGGAGACCAGAGTCGCCCGTATGTGGTTGTGTGCGAGTTCCAGAAATATGATTGCAGTAAGTAATATATATTATTCCCGTAGCTATGCAGAAAACGTTACTTCAGTAACGTCTGGCGCTAGCCAGGGTCCACACAGCTTTAATTTGGTATTTGTTTGTTTGTGTGTTTGTTTGTGTCACGCCTGGCGCTATCCCGTATCTGTCCCGTATCTGTCCCGTATCTGTGACTACAAAGGCTCTACAGGATTGTACATAACAGCTGTCCACAATATTTGCGGGCTCCTGTATCTGTCCCGTACCGTACCAATATTCATCGTATTATGCATAAGACTCCCTGATGTAGAGTAGGATTTGGAAAGAAATAGGGAGACGAGGAGGAAATTAAATTAGAATAGACGCCGATAAGGTGATAGGATGCGTCAGCATAAACATACTTTGGAAGAGAGATCCCGTCGTTTCCAAAATAAGCGTGAACGAGCGATTCAGTGCCGGTCACAGGAAACGTCGGAAGAGAGATCCCGTCGACTCCAGAACGCCCGTGGTCGGTAGAGTCCGGCGGTACCAGGCAACGTCAGGACAGACATCCCGTTGAGTCCAGAACGCCCGTGATCGGCAGAGTCTAAGGCGGTCCCAGGAAACGTCAGCACAGACATCCCGTCGAGTCCAGAACGCCGTGATCGGCAGAGTCAGCGCCGGTCCCAGTAAACGTCAGGACAGACATCCCGTCGACGCGCAGAAAAACTAAATCTGCAGCCTCTTTTGCCGTCGAACAGGATACGTATTTATATAGGAGACTGTAAAGTTATGTAATGTCCAAATTTCGACGTGAGCAGCAGGCAACTCGCGTTGATTTTTTCGACGTGCGAGCCAAATAACGCGAGCTGAACTTTCGCGTCGCAGACATCCCGTCGACGCGCGGAAAAACTAAATCTGCAGCCTCTTTTGCCGTCGGACAGGATACGTATTTTAGGAGACTGTAAAGTTATGTAATGTGCTCCACAGGCAACCATGCAATCGGCGTCGTCATTGGCTCAACAGGTCAATGTAGATGTATTACTAGAAAAAAGCCAGAAAATCCGATTCCTGTATTAAAATCAACTAATGTTCGCTGGCGATTTAATTTCGCTGATTTCGCCGCTTGGTACCAACCGGACAAAGTAAATCGCAGGCCAACGTTTGTCATATAGGCAAATGATGCATGATTGAGCAATGGATGCATGTGAGAGCAAAAATACCGATCGATTTCAAATTTGACGTGAAACTGCGCGTCACGTCGGAAATAACGTGCATCTTAACATCTCTAATCGAGAGGATTCTATTTCTCATTGGCCAAAATTTGTTGATTTACAATATAAGGAGATAAAAATTAAAGAAGGAGCAAAACAAAAGTAGATGATTATTAGAGAAACAACAATCCGCAATAAATTCTGCAAATACTTTTCCCTAAATCATAATATTGAAACCGATTGAAACGTTTTTGCAATACAGTGATGTGGCCAATGAACGGAAAAAGACAATTCCATCAGTTCTTATAACATGTACGATGAGCTAGGCAAAAAAGCATAAAAGCATAGCGTAGGGCCCTGAGCTTCCAAGCTCTCTCGTTCCCGTAGCTATGCAGAAGACGTTACTTCAGTAACGTCTGGCGCTAGCCAGGGTCCACACAGCTTTAATTCCCGTAGCTATGCAGAAGACGTTACTTCAGTAACGTCTGGCGCTAGCCAGGGTCCACACAGCTTTAATTTGGTATTTGTTTGTTTGTGTGTTTGTTTGTTTGTTTGTTTGTGTCACGCCTGGCGCTATCCCGTATCTGTCCCGTATCTGTCCCGTATCTGTGACTACAAAGGCTCTACAGGATTGTACATAACAGCTGTCCACAATATTTGCGGGCTCCTGTATCTGTCCCGTACCGTACCAATATTCGTCGTATTATGCATACGACTCCCTGATGTAGAGTGGGATTTGGAAAGAAATAGGGAGACGAGGAGGAAATTAAATTAGAATAGACGCCGATAAGGTGATAGGATGCGTCAGCATAAACATACTTTGGAAGAGAGATCCCGTCGTCTCCAAAATAAGCGTGAACGAGCGATTCAGTGCCGGTCACAGGAAACGTCGGAAGAGAGATCCCGTCGACTCCAGAACGCCCGTGGTCGGTAGAGTCCGGCGGTACCAGGCAACGTCAGGACAGACATCCCGTTGAGTCCAGAACGCCCGTGATCGGCAGAGTCTAAGGCGGTCCCAGGAAACGTCAGCACAGACATCCCGTCGAGTCCAGAACGCCGTGATCGGCAGAGTCAGCGCCGGTCCCAGTAAACGTCAGGACAGACATCCCGTCGACGCGCAGAAAAACAAAATCTGCAGCCTCTTTTGCCGTCGAACAGGATACGTATTTATATAGGAGACTGTAAAGTTATGTAATGTCCAAATTTGGACGTGAGCAGCAGGTCACTCGCGTTGATTTTTTCGACGTGCGAGCCAAATAACGCGAGCTGAACTTTCGCGTCGCAGACATCCCGTCGACGCGCAAAAAACTAAACCTGCAGCCTCTTTTGCCGTCGGACAGAATACGTATTTTAGGAGACTGTAAAGTTATGTAATGTGCTCCTCAGGCAACCATGCATTCGGCGTCGTCATTGGCTCAACAGGTCAATGTAGATGTATTACTACAAAAAGGCCAGAAAATCCGATTCCTGTATTAAAATCAACTAATGTTCGCTGGCGATTTAATTTCCCTGATTTCGCCGCTTGGTACCAACCGGACAAAGTAAATCGCAGGCCAACGTTTGTCATATAGGCAAATGATGCATGATTGAGCAATGGATGCATGTGAGAGCAAAAATACCGATCGATTTCAAATTTGACGTGAAACTGCGCGTCACGTCGGAAATAACGTGCATCGAGAGGTTTCTATTTCTCATCGGCCAAAATTTGTTGATTTACAATATAAGGAGATAAAAATTAAAGAAGGAGCAAAACAAAAGTAGATGATTATTAGAGAAACAACAATCCGCAATAAATTCTGCAAATACTTTTGCCTAACTCATAATATTCAAACCGATTGAAACGTTTTTGCAATACAGTGATGTGGCCAATGAACGGAAAAAGACAATTCCATCAGTTCTTATAACATGTACGATGAGCTAGGCAAAAAAGCATGAAAGCATAGCGTAGGGCCCTGAGCTTCCAAGCTCTCTCGTGTCCTGGCAGCTCATTGACCATAGAAATTGTCCATGAACATTAGCACCGTGGTATAATTATTGACGACTGTCTAACATGGGCTCCTCATGTAGACTATATTTGCAAGAAAACTAGTAGTGTTCTCGGCATACTATATCCTCATCGTTTTCATTTGCCAAATACATGCCGGTCTATGTTTTATCGCTCGTATTTATTACCTATTTTCCAGTATGCATGTCAGTCTTGGTGTAGTCTAAGTCAACATCTTGGGAACAAACTTGAAATCCA